TGCCAGAGTGGGAGTCGACGTTGTCTACCTGAACTTCTCGAAAGTGTTCCATCGTTTGGACCACCGCATTCTCCTTCACAAGCTTCGAAGCTATGGAATCCGTGACCCTGTGCTCCGTTGGATCGGCAACTTCCTCACTCAACGTCAGCTGAATATGAGAGTCCGCAGCTCCATTTCCGACCGAATTAAGGTCCAGTTAGGCACACCCCAAGGATCGGTACTGGGGACACGTTTAATCCTAGTATTCATTAACGATCTTGCCACTGCACTGCAGACGAATTTCTTAGTAGTTGTAGATGATGTCAAAATTTGCCATGATACCAGGACAGCGAATGATCACATGGCATTGCAGAGCGCTCTCGACAGGGCTTATGCGTGGTCACCTGATAACCGGCTCCAGTTAAAGGTGGCGAAGTGCAAAGTCGTAAGCACACGCCATCAGCTTATCTATGAATATCGACTTGGGAAGTAGCAGTTACAACATGATTCCCAAGAAAACGACTTCGGGGTGATCGTGCAGTACGATGTTGGCTGCTCGAGAAAGGCTGAAAAGTCATCAAAAAGAGCCAGTCAACATCTTGGACTCTTACGGAGGGCTTTCGACAGTTTTGAGCCACCAATCTTTCCGTAAATGCTGAACGCTTATGTGAGGCCACACGTGGAACATGCGATCCAGGTCTGGCATCCGTGGCACAATCGTGACATCTATGTACTTAAAACTCCACAAAGTAGAGCGACCAAAGTTGTTAGGGGATTGTTTCCTCTCTTCTACCAGCGCAGACTGCAGTAACTGAGATTGTACAGTGGTGAATATTGATGTCAGCAAAAAGATCTAATCATGGTTTACTTGGTACTGGCAAACCCAACTCACCCATGTTGCAATCCGTTGTAGATGAGCCAAAATACCAACCTGAGAGGCCATCAAATCAAACAGACTACGCAACACAGTCGACTTGATTGCCAACGAAACGTTTTCTCCCTCCGTGTGTCCCGTGCCTGGGATGCCCTTCCGACTGACGTTATCCTTGCCCCTACATTAACGGTATTCAAAAAACGCCTTGATGACACGCTTTCCAAGTTGCATAACTTGATATAGTCCGTTGCACTTGGAGTACGAAATAACGCAAACCTAGCCATGTGCATAACGGCCCTCTCCGCAACGTGGCGATGCGGATACATGCAGAAGTATCCATGTGAGTAGCCTAGATGTGTCTAAAGTGGATGAACACACCACAGCTGTGAAATGAAGCAACACACGAGTGAGCGTTGTCGTTTCCTTTTTATTTCTCACGCATTTACTGAACTATAACAGCTCTCTATACTATTTTGTGTGTGCACATCCCATTCTCATTTCAAACTGTCGTTATGCAGTAGTGTACTAAATCGGTAGACTCTTAAAATAACGATTCACTTATTCGATGGTCATTTCAATCTTAATTTTTACTCCAACCATCCTACGGGACTTGCCAAGCACATGCTTTTTTACCCGTGATAAATCATTTTTCATTGACTACCAAAGGTCGCGCATCGTTTAGAGAAACTCGGCGAGTCTACTCGACGAGTGGTTCCATGCACTCAGTGTGAAGCGGACTACGATTCAGCCACCACCATGTGTGCTTGTGTTTGCCTGTGAAGGAGTGTGGGCCGGCTCCGTTGATGAAACCTGGCTCCCATCCGCATGCCTCCCGCTCTTATTCCTTCGGGTTTACACTGGATATAGGGTGCGTGGTTGGAGCTGTGGGTGGTAAGGCGTAAGCCACCCATGGTCTCTCTGTAGGCGCAGGCGTCCTGTGGAGGTCACGGTGACAGGCAAATCCGGAACCGGAGGCCACCAAGCATATATATATATATATATATATATATATATATATATATATATATATATATATATGGTGGTGAGCTAGAGCGGCCTGTCGGTTGGTGGTCTCCGTGTGACTCAATGTGTTCGCCGACTGTCCGAAGCTGCGCTGTGATATTATGTGCTTGGAACGAAGTTTGAAGAAAACTTTCCCCAATGTGTCAGTACGAAGAATGATAGAGGTGACACTCTGATTCTGATAAGACACCGATTTGGCAACTGATATCGCTCTCAATGATCGTCTCATTCGTACTTTTGGTCATTCGCATTAGAAAAAATAGCCGTTTGTTGAATCCATTTCTGAAGCCCCTTACCTGCAGTCGGAGTGGAATTATAACGTAAAGATACAAAACACTTTATTTTCGACCGCTGACTATTGGCTCAGAGCTTGGTATTTAAACCGCATACACGTTTTAGCCATTCAAATGGTCTCTAATAACTAGTCTCCGGTTGTCTAATGAAATCGATTCCACCATCGTAAATGACACATGTAAGAGATTGCGTTACCAAAAACGCGAACGGTATGAGCTCCGTTATTGCAACCCGGGTGCATCAGATGCAGGTGAATTAGGAAATGGTTGTTTTATATGCGTGTTTCGAAAGCACAACACATCAACTCTAATGGAGTGAAAAGTTGTGGCGGTCACCGGTCGAACAAGCTCACACAGTGTATGCACGTTGAAATATCCAATAGAGAGGGGCACTATAGGTATAAGAGAGAATCCGGCTTCATTGTCAGAGCGATTGATGAAATCGGCAATGGTCCAGTTAAAACGAAAACAACGTTTGTGAGAATGAAGGGAAGCCTGAGTGTCAAGTTTACTGACTCGTGGGCAGAAAACACTCGCCGACTGCACATTTTGAGGCCTAGCTTCCTTGTTGCTGTGGCCGATGAAGTCAGTTGTGCCACCCCACTGGTTAATTACGAAAAAAGGAATGTTGTAATGAAGAAGAAGAAGAAAGTTGGTGGTGGTTTCTTGATGCCCGATAGTACTCTGCGGCCGGCCATTGTGAAGGTTATGTTCGAAGTTTCCTACTTCTAGCCTGTGGTTCAGAAACCTAGTCCACAAGGCAGGGTCCAGCCGAAGCCACTTGCGGTGGTAGGAGAAAGCTTTGGCTCGATTCTTTCAACAGTTTTGACGAAATGTACGTGCGCGACATGTGGAAACAAGGGAGGTAGTCGTTTCGATTCAGCCAACTGCTATTATAACCATCCTAACGGTGCTTTCAAAGGTCATGGAAGCCATCATCGCCGATGTCCTAACGGCCTATTTGGATAAATTTACTTACCTAGCACCAGAACTGCACACCTTCCGACGAAATCGATCATGCACTACCAATCCAGTTGGATCGAAGTAGTAGACACTGGCAAAGGAATTGATATAGTCCTTCTGGACTTCCCAAACGTATTCGACCAGTTAGATCATGGCATCCTTCTCGCCAAACTCCAGACCTTTGGTATTGGTGGTCCTCTCCTAGGGTGGATCAGAAGCTTTCTTCTACACCGGCGATTGCAGGTACGAGTGCATGAATCCGTATCAGATACCATGCAAGTCGAATGCGGAGTACCACAGGGATCGGTACTGTGGCCAAGATTGTTCATGACGTATATCAAGGTTATCACATACCTCATAAGCTCGGACTGCTTACACTATACCGATCACATCAAAGTGCGGAGGGCGACAAATACACCATATGATAGTACACTACTTCAAGTCGATCTGGATAGGATTTATGTGTGGTCAATCCAGAATCTACTTTGGTTTATGGTTGGAAAATGTGGTTTCCAATTATGACACCAACTGGCGTGCTGCTATAAACTGGGAAAACGGGAGCTTCAAACGTCTTCCGGCGAAAGGCATCTGCGCGTTTTGATCCAGGTAGACCTTAGCTATTCGTATTTAACTGAAAAGGCATCAGGAAGATGCTTCCAAAATGTCAGCATTCCATGGCCAAAAGACGAGTGTCTGTTAGAGATTTCACTGCCGGTCAGTTGCTTTTGCATCGCATCAGGAGGTGAAACGGTTTTTACAAACGTTGCATTTGTCACCATTCCTTATGGATTTACAGCAGATTCACAGGCTTTCATACGTACACACCTCGACAAGTCCAGCGGTTACTTTTGCTGTCACCTTTTCCATATTTTGCAATATTCACCATGACTATCCCACGGGACCTGCTAGGCTTTATCTTTTGTTACCCGTATTGAACCATTGTTCAAGTGTGCAGTTCAATCGAGATCTGTGTGAGTGCGATCGCACGTTTCCCTGGGTGGATCAGAACCAGGGGCAATAGTGCATATTTTTAGACCGTAACCTAATGTACATTTGGACAGCCACAATCGAATTTGGAGGATTTGCACTTTTTGAAAAGGGCATCGCCATAATTGTAGTATGTGGTAACAAATCAAACCACAAGTGTCACTTGTGACAAGAGAGAGATCCATCGATGCATTCCCAACTTCGATGTCAGATTGGTAACCAATGACGTGCACGAGTGGCCCTGCAGATGCTTGGAAAGTGCCGCGTTGTCTATCACATGGGCCACGGAAGCATGCACGCCCCACCGGGATGGTGGACAGGCTAAAGTTGTTAATGATGACAGTAGAATGTAGGTATGCCTAATTCACATAGGTTGTGCTGCGGATTCGCATATCCGCCGACTTATTCGACAGTTTCATTGGACGGTGGCTGTGGTCCTTAAAACATTTCAGCATGTAAACGTCCAGCGGGATAGTCACTCATTTCGCTGGCAATTATTTCCGAATTTTCACATCAGGAAATGATGTCATTAAAAAGCAACAACGAGTAAATTGTGCCTTATGGGACAGATCAAGTGTTGCTGGGGCTTTGAAATATACTGTTCACATTAAAGCAAGCAAACCGAAGCAAGAGAATCTGTTGACACCGGATTTCAGTGTTCATTCTTATACAGGGTGCGACTGAGGAGAAACTGTAAGTGAAAGCATGCAAAGTTCATCCGTACAGTTTTCGGCATTTTTTGAAGACCAGCATGTGTGTAATTGGTTGATTACTGAACGGATGGTTCCTACTCTCAGCATGTAAATAACACGGCACATGAATGGTTTACAGCTAAGTTCATTATAAATGAGACAAAAAAAAACAAAAAATGAGCGACTCACAGTCCCCTTCGGATTGATGACCAAGGCCACGTTCGAATGTCCGCCTCTGAAGGAAAGCGTACCGTAACGTCAGGGTAATGTGCGCACATAATGGATTTGACAGCAGTGGCGAACAAATAATATGTAGGGATGGCAATCACTATCACGTGCAAAACTGTGCAGTACTGTTGTGAAGATTGAACAGAGCATTCATACGCCACCAGTATGGAAAGCAAAACAAACTAGGCGATTTTAAGGGGTGCAACTGGGGCACCAAATAACGCATATTCTTTGGTTTGCTTCAAATGGGGGGGGGATAAATAGTGTTTCAGTCATGAAAAGATGGGCTAACAAACATGCGGCCAAAGACAAGCGTATTGTTATTAAGGGCAAAATCGAATGCCACCATAAGATGAGTGCATTACTTGGGGATCCCCCAAAATTCGTGGAAACGTTCAATGAGAAGCGCAAAAGTTCGACGAGTGAAAAGGCTCTCAGATAAATGAAACAGAAAGGACTGATCGATGGCATGACATTTGAAAGAACTCATCCCGTTGGCAGCATCATTCTAAGGTTGGGTGGATTACACAAGTTACGTAAAGAGGAGCTTCTTTACGACACATACTAGATGCGACTAACTCCCCGTATCATAGGTTGACAAGGTGGTTGACCGAACTAATATAACTAACACGAAGAGAGCTAGCCACTCATAGTTTGCATGACGCGTTCGAGTTTGTCGACAGCATCAGAACTCAAAGTGTGGACAACAAGCAGCTAGTTTCGCTCGATGTGACAACATTGTTTAATAATATTCCCGTTAAAAAGACTATCAATGACGTTGCCGAACACATCGAGCGCACAGGTAAACAAATGGGCTCACTGGTGGATAAACTGAAGGCACTGCTTCATCAGTGTGGCCACAACGTCTAATTTCGCTTCGCCGGACAATTGTACCGACAAAAAGTCAGCTAACTATAGGGTTACCGTGTTTATCACCAAAGTAGAGAACGGTCCGTTGAGTGAAATGATTGAGCGGATGCCATTCCATAAACGCTAGGTCGATGACGTGACTTGCATAGCTAACGGTTCTGTGAGCCAGGTTGAATTATTTCGCAAAATTCAATCGGGCCCACAGGAACATTCAGTTTTGTATGGAACCCGAATCAAATAAAGGTATGGCTTACCTGCATGTCTAAATGTCACCTCGATCAGATGACTCGTTGTAACGTAGAATCCACAGGAAAGCGAATTGTAAGGGTCAATATACGCACTTTGATAGTTTCGTGGCAATTCGACAAAAGCAGAACCTAGTCCAGTGTCTTATGGAGAAAGCGATGAAAATATCCTCTGGGGACACAATAGAAGCAGAGCGCGCCGTAAGAAGTGTTCCTTATTAATGGATATCCCGGGGCCTTCATTGACAGGAATATGCGAACTGACTGTGTGGTCGGCAAAGCACCCACAGTAGGAAAGAAACCCGTTTACTTATCGTTGCCATTCAAGGAAGACAACAGTCCCGAACACATTAGCCAACGGTTACGAGCGACCGTCATTACCACCTTCGGGGCCGCACAGTTACGTAGTATATCCACTTCCACACTCACGTTACACCTCCAGGTGAAGAATAAATTGCTTGTGGATGTCACCTATTTCTGTGTGTACCAATTTACCTGTTCCTGTGGGACAAGTTAGATACTGACCGGAAAATATCGTACAAGAAAAAGGGTACAAAAAAGAGTACATGGAAAATTGCACACACTGTATATGAAGGAAATGGGAATACAAGTTCGATTGCTTTGCACATGAACAACTACCCTGCGTGCCGAATCTCACATGACTCACTCAGAATACTCAACAGGCAGAACACTGCTCGCATTTAGCCTCAGCGATTCGGTGGCTCTAACGCACTTTGTGTGGCCAGACGGAGTTCATGGCTATCCTTGCTTTGCCCTCATGAGATTGGTGACTGACCAGGGTCCCGCGCCAGACACTGGCCATATCACATCATCGCAAGATGTATGACGAGAATACTGGATCCTGTCAGAAGTATGGCAGTCTCATATCACTATTGCAGGACTAGTCTAAGCGACGTGGCCGCCAAAACCCAAGCACGAACCTTGCTTTCCGCATTGCCAATGAAAGGAACCTGCGAACTCTCCATAATCTAGGTGGCAGAGGCTGCAATGACCAATTCTTCATCCTACGTCAGGTACTCGAACACCGCTACCAGTTCCAGCAGCCCACGTTCGTTTGCTTCGTTGATTTTCGAGCTACCTTTGAATCAGTTGACCGGGAAGCACTCTAGAGAATCCTATATGCCGATGGCGTACCGGTTAAACTTGTTAACTTAATGAGATCATACTAAGGTTGCACGACGCCCGGATTCGGGTCTATGGAGAAGAAACATAGGAAATCGACATCAATACTGGAGCCCGGCAGGGTTGACCACTTTCCCCAGTGCTGTCCAGCTTCGCGATCGACTGGGTTATGCATCATGCTGCTAAAAGCAAATGATGCTAGACATGAGAATGATTAGTGTCACACCTCGTACTGTTATGGGAAATGTACTGTGGACGCTGAGTAACGAAGTAACGGCTCATATGCCCAAACAAACACCCTAGGAGAACTCTTCTGAATCACAGAAAAAGCGGTCATTCACCTTGTCAAACAACTATACGTTTTGATATCCCATGGAAGTACTGCGAACGGGTACGTTATGATTCAGGGGTGAATGGTCTGGGAAGAATGCTTGAAACGAGTGATCAAGAGCTAGTAAATGGGGATGGAACTTCTGAGAAAGTTCCAAGTATGTTTTAGCAACTGCATACGTAGCACGCCAACGTGGGAAACATCCGCCTTGCATTTACCTCTTGCTGCAGAAAAAAAATAATGAAGCTGTTGCTTCCGGATTTGATGCTTAAGATGTTACTAGATTTTGAGAACGCCTCCATGAATGTAGCGATAATTGCTTTTTTAGATGCAGAAATCAAAGGGTGCTATTTCCACCTGTGCCAAAGGCTCACCAGGAAAGTGAGCAACGTCGGCCTAAAAAGGACATTCGAGACGAATGTGAACTGTAGCTGAAGTCTCTGACTGCGTTATCGTTTGTCCCGGTCCGTGCTGTCAGAAGAGTATCTGAGAAACTTTCTGACACATGTTCAAATGAAGAATCGTATAATGCGATTCTCACATACTTCTCCACATATACTGAGGGTACTGCATGCGGAGATACACAAATTCCACTGCAAATGTGGTATTATCATGATGTAGCTTTTGAGATGTCGTCAAAAACGACAAAGTGCTATGAGGTATTTCACAATGCACTGAAGTCTTTATTTCACTGCAATCGTCCAGACATCTGGACTACAGAAGGATGTTTGTCGCTGTCAATCAATGGCTAATGCACAAGCACATTGCCTAGAGGTGCTGCGGTCGCATCCCCCCCGTCAGAGGTTTATGAACACACGGAGGACAAGGTGAAATACCTGCGAGGACTGGCAAACTTGAAAAAATCAAGATTGTTGATGACATGGTATATTCGGGAAATGTTTTCAATATTGCCACTTTTCCGTCACAAATATTCCATAGTTCTTTACGTGACACAGAAATGTGAAAATGGGCGCTTTTTCACGTGAGAATTTTATGACGGCAGGCCCAAAGATCAGTCTAGAGGAACGGAACCATGATGTGACACGCTTTTATTGTGCACATACTAGTGTCCCCCTGTATAGTGACACCGGCGAACCGTGCTGGCCGGGGAAGAGGGAATATCAACGAGTGTCGCAGATATGCGAAAGATCCGACCGTGGGTGTGTTTTTCGGTTCACTATAATGTCTTGAACTGACAGTCCACATTTCTCGTTGGTCGTTTAAGTGTGCAACGAAAGAAGTAAGTTTGATCCCCTTTGCACACATCGTAGTTAAACAAACCGGGTACATCCGCAGATTGCTACAAATTTTCCGTGCAATGGTTTTTCTGGGTGGGAAATTTACTGTGTGGGTATCCTTCCATGTGCACTACCATTGTGTAGAAAGTGGCTATCGGTCATTTGACACGGTCACCAACCACATCAAGCTAGGACTAGGCTAGCCAAGAACTCCAGCTGGTAGCAACACCAAGTGCATTAGAACCACCGAATTGCTGAGGCTTGGGCAAACAGACAGTGATCTGTCTGTTGAGTACTCCGAATGAGTCATGGGGGATTTGGCACGTACGGCAGTCGTTTATGTGCAAAGCGAACGAAATGGTGTCTATCCGTGTTCGCCATATGCCATGTGCGTAAGTTTCCGAGGGTGCAATTTCCATGTACGCAATTCTCCGTGTACGTTTTTGGCTGTACGCAATATACGTGCACGTTTTCATCATGGATCCAGTTATAAATGTCACAGGGCGAGTATCACCCAGCGTGGTTAAGCCGAGTATTGAACAAGACGTGCACTACCGTAACGGTCGCACACATAGTCCAGATGAAGTATCCTGTTGTTACCACTAAAGCCTTTTGCCCGATCTACCGTAAGAGGGGTGTCCATTCTAAACTTAGATGTCGAATCCTTTGCATTGGCAGAGGTGATCCCGACTCGTCCTGACAACCCCCGTTGCGTGTGTGCACAGAAAGTACGTCAAGACTTTGGCTTTACCATGACCAGCGGTCGTCCGAGCAGCTTCCGTGTGTATAAATCACACCCGTTTTTTACGAATTTTAACAACCATTTTATCCGGTGGTGTATATCAGCAGGCGCGCTCAATCTGGCAACTCGATTATAGACTTCGTAGTCGTGGATGTGTTAGATCTTCTATACTCAAGTGGTGTACTTACGGGAATACGACCCAGCGAAACTAGAGTATCCAGCTGTCAGAGTCCACTGCGGCCTGGTTGTAAGTCAGGCATCACAAGGTATTTCATCCATTGGCTTATTGATAAAAATTTACCTAGGGCAGAACCACCGGGTATACTTTGAAAAGCCAGTAACTGCACCAACTACGTGGCGGCACGGCATGGTTGTCCATAAAGTGGGTATTGACGCGCCGATACGGGTGATTAACTGCGCGGATCGAATGACGCAAGAGTATTCAGTCATCATGTGCAAGAAATGTGGTTCGGTAACGAGGGAGACGGTGCTTCCTGCGCCAAAATATTGTGGATATCCATTGTGATGGAGATACTTTCGGTATGCTGGAGCCACGCCACATATCGGAAATCGACCATAGTGTTGTTCATCGACTTTAAAAAAGGCGATAGATACAATGCTATTGCCTCGTCGTGTTCGACATCCTTGTCTGTAAAAATGTTCCCATCAAATGTTTGAACGTTTTAAATGTCCCGTACTAGAACACCAGGTGGCGTCAGGATCCAGAGTGATTTGTCATGCGGGATCCCGACAACTCGTCGGGGTTGTACCAATCCATAATGCACGTATTTTTATCGCATGTTACATCACGACACGTTACTTTTGGAATATGATGATGCAGTTATTGAGCTTTTATCTAGAGAGAAACTAGGTGATCTATATTACGTGGGTGACATCAGTTTGCTGTTTGACAATCGTGAGCCGGGACAGACAACAGTCGAAAATACTCCGGATTGATCCCATCGTCTGGAAGCGCTTCGCTCCTTCAAGATACAAAGTGTCTTAGCAATACCATCAGCAACCTGATAGCCATTTCATTCATCACGATTTGGAACTGCAGAGTTGATCGATTTATCTATTTCAGCAAGTGAACTAGTAGCAGGGTGTGATTGCTGAAGTAAGTCCACGTACTGCGTTAACTGGAAGTGACTTCATGAATCTGTAACAGCTCTGGCATCAGAATGGAGATTCCCTTAGTCTTAGGATCGCTTGAGGCATGGTTGCTTCGGTCTGAGGCACTTTCAAGTCCACGATTGACGCCTATCCAGTGCTGCTCGAGTCCGGATCTTCTAGTACGTCCTAAGGCCAGCAGATAAAGCCGAATAAGTGATATTGGCTTTGATACGTCCCGCATGTGTCCGATGACCGTCCTGTTCATTGGCGCATTGCTCGATGGACAATCACAGGGCTGACAGCAAGAGATGAAATTTGATGTGGTTGTTCGTCCTGTTTTCCAGGCCAGTGTCCATGCGAGACAATGACTTCGCCTCGGACCTTGCAGGGAATGATCTGCGATCGGTATTAGTGGTGCTTGCTGTCGTCTCTTGGGCAGACTTCCCGCTTAAAGTGCGTATGGCGCTGAGTTAGCTGTACAAACATTAAGAGCATAGAAAAACAAAAAAGGCATCAATAATATTCCGACACGTCGTACCGATGCCTCGCTACTGCTTTACCACCATAAGTCGTGTGCGGTCTAGGGTTGCTGCGAGGGGACTCGTGCATACTCAGACCCGAAGCGAAGATTCTTAGATTTAAAAGCCAGACGCTTGAACGGATTAGCCACCGACCGGCCATTTTGGCTATGACCATTATGATTATGGAGACTGCAAAAGAGTGAAGTCACCGACGCAACCCAATACTCATAAGATACACAGCCACTTATAACCGTATTGCTCGTAATGTTTAAGCATCCTGAGACTGAATCTGCTTGCGGTTTTTGGTTCCCATTAGATCCGTCTCCTTTCCTCTTATTTTTGTTATCTTAATAGAGTCACTATGGTAGCATGGCATCAGTGCGAAATACTGCCGTGTAGTTATCGTTGTTGTATAGAACACGAAAAATTACCTCAGTTCGGCGAAACGAAACACGAGGCAAACATATATGGGCTTGAATAGTGTGTGCAGTCTGGTGTGTGTGGAGATAATATCCCGCAATAGTGACAACAGGAACCGCTTTTCAATGGTTAATGTTGCCGAAATCGGCAGTTAACCTCGCCGCGCTTCAAGCACAGTTGTATCCTTCGCGTTCGGTTATTGAAGTCGGAATGAAGAGTACTCCGCCAGGGATGCTTTGTTTCCATGCGAAAGTTGACCGTCGTTGATCGTATGGTATCGAGCCCTAGACACTCCGTTAACGTGTGTTAACCGGTTTTATTACCACCCACACTGGCTCACATGATGCCCCAGAATCGCTGCACGTGTCATATAACATGCGCAAAAAAAGCTGTGATATCGACCGTGGTTCGGTCCTGTACCTCCACAATAAATAGGTCGGCATCTGAGAATGACGTTAAAGTCATCTACTCACTACCTGAACGCTTCTCGCAAGGCTTCAGAATGCAGATCTTGTCTATTGCCGAGGCTATTTACATCCATCAGATGAAGCCGGAATTATGTGTACATAAACGATTCATACCGCCTAAACTACTACCGTGGCCGACTGATATGGTTACTTAATTCCCTTCGTGACCTTACCTATTTACTTTAGGCTGCTGAGGCTTGTATACTAATTTGCCTTTGGTGCACTTTTCGTGTCATCTGTAGCCGCATTTAATCATCGATCTTGACCTTTCAAACACCTTAGAAATCAACCCCAGCCCAATTTGACGCTTACCCCACACAATCAGTGTTATGTAAACGTTTGAGTCTGAAGAGAGTTTACCGAAAAGAATTCTTAACCCTGAACTGATTTCTGGCCTTGATTCATCTGAATGCAATGGGAATATTTGCTTTGCTGAAAATCAGCACTGTCCGTGATTCGTTGAAAATTTGTTTAAACCTATTCGATATCGAGTTTTCTCCAGATGACGTACTCGAAATGAAGTGGGATAAGGAACGGAACGATGAATTGACCGATCAAATGAGATCCACCAGGACGGACAAGGTGAAAAATAGCTTATGACATCTTAGGTGGACTCCGATTCCACAGAGGAATGGTGTCATACGGAAGCAAACACATATCTTGGACACGTGGTGTGCACGCTTAACGAAAATCCCAACTATGAAACAAGTGTTGCCACAGATGTGTGGGAAATAGCCCATCTTCCGAGCGCGACTGTGCGGTGCTAAGCGCACAGCTCCTGAATGAGACAGAGGGGATGTACGGAAACCAGCACGTCCTGGTGTCTCATGAACTCAATGGTCCAAGTTTGGTGCCAAGCTCCGTAGACAACACCTTTTCACTTATAGTACATCGTTAAATGATGGAAATTGGGTGTTTCCAGCCCGAAAACACAGTACAACCACGACGCGTTTTGATATCATTTTATTTCATCAGGTGGAGATAGCAGTCATTCAACCCACGACCATTAAAATAGTAGCCGAAACCTCCACCCCCTTTGGCTACCGGGTCACGACGGGCAATGCTTGACACAACGGTTGACGACTGAATGGAGGGTCACGTACACGTTGTGTGATTGGATTGTGACTTGCAATCTCAATGTAGACCGCGATTCACATTAAAGCAAACCTTGGTTAGTGCGATCACTAGGATCGTAGCCGAAGCAGTTGGAAACTGAGTGTTGCCCGCCCGGTCCTAGTGATCGTATTACCCAGGGTTCACTTCAATGTGAATCGCGGTCTACATGGAGATCGCGTGTCGCAATCCAATCACACAACGTATACTCCAAATGACCCTCCATACATCATTAGTTATTATAGCAATAGTTGAGACGAAGGCAGAGATAAAAAAATGAAAAAGCCGAAAAACACCTCATTAAAAATACTACAAAATGCACGCACGTGGTTGGCGTCCTCAAGTGAATCCGCCTCGCTGTCTTCCTCGGACTCAACGTCGTCTGGATTGTCCCCCTCCTCCTCCTCTGTTTGTTTGCCCAGTTCTTTGATGAGAAGTTTATAGATTTTAACCGGAAGAGGCACTTGTAGAATCTTGCGCGGACGGGATTCTGTGATAAAATTTGACAAAATATCGAATAAAAGCAAACTAGTTGGGTTGCCAGAGACGGAAATGATTCAATTATGAAATATGGATAAAACGCAACTAGTGTGACGAAGGCAATCTTTTGCGCACCATAGCCGTACTCCAAAAGGTTACCATATGAAGGACAGTGTTGAAACAAAATCGCCCATAAAGGATACATTCGAAACAGCGAACAAAAAACGGTGATATTGTATGATGTATTACGGGAGAATAGATTTAAATATGCACAACTCCAAAGAAATATGACCAAAATGTAATAAAACACGCCTGTCACTCGTCATTACCCCAATCGTACAAGTTCCTATGTAACATTAAACAATGGCTGACTCAAAGTATCAGGGGGCTTACAAATGTGACCTGTTGTTGTTTGTGTGCAATCGTTTTCTGAGTCGAATAGTGGTGAAATGCAAATCCAGCAAAGTTTTAAGCTGCTGTACAGTTTTGATGTACACCGCTACTGAAGTAGTGGCCTACACATATGGGAGACCGAGATTTAACATGCGGTATTTCATGATGAAGTCGAACCGACTCCCACCGGATGATAAGACAAAGTGTAGAGTCTTAGAGTTTCGCAACTGTCTTCGTATGTCAATCCCCATAAACTTGGGCTTGGCTTGGCATCGATGTGTTGGACCCGTTCGATCTTCTATGCTTCTCCTCTGGTGATCAGATAGCACGCAAGCATGCCTTATAACGGAAGAGAAGGCGTCAGTGGCGATGTTTTCAGACCAAGTACAGAAACTGCGTTTTAACGGCCAAGGCATGCGCGGTCCGTTATGATATAAGCTCTTCGTGTAGTTCACGAAATTCACATAGAACTTTCACGGAAGGTGTGGGATACAGCGGTTGGCTGTCGATGTAAATTGGGCCGAAACCACCCTTTCCCAGACTCATAAATACCGACTTGACTGGGATGACGGGGAAGAGGAATCCTATGGACCAAGTGGAGAGGCGCTTAAGGCCTCGCTTAAGTATGCCGCAGTCATGTGGGGGCATCAATTACTCTCCGAATCTCCAAGATGTCCGCAAACAAGGTGACCGGAAAAGCTGAAGCAAATCGTTGATGTGGATTGGGAACAGAGTAGGCCCCGGAATCGTGCTCTGGGTTATGTTACTGGTACAGCGATACCAAATGGTTGAATGGCCGTTGACCTGTAACCAATTTCGTAGTGATACCCTAACACCGCACACGCTTTGTTTGTGTAGAAAGATCTCATGGTTCACTTTACTGGACGCTTTACTAGAGTCACGTCGACAGACTTCCCTTTGCTTAGTGGCTTCAACCATTCATGCCTCGACCCAAGCAGGTTGGCCTTGCATGAGCGGCCTAGCATGAAACTGTGTTTTGTGGGCATCGGCAGTTTTTTCTATTGGAGTAGCTGTAGTACACTACCACAAGTGATTTGAGTCTCACTGCGAATCATGGATCGAGAAACATTAGTTGCGCAGAACGTCAAAAATGGGATAGAAAATCGAGTCCGTGGACGACAAGAGACGAACGCAAACTAGGTAACGAATGGGGATTAAGGTCACATAAGCGCAGATAAATGGCTGTCTTTTGTGACGAGGACAGGAGACAAGACAAAGTTAAACTGAAGCCAATGCATACGGTTTTCCCGAAAATCGAACATATAAGAAGATAACACTCATAACTGACGAGATAGCAAGCCAAGTGATTAAGATGCATATGATTGTATTTTTTGATGCAAGCAAAACGACTAAGGTTACTTGCAACATGGAGGGAAATGGAAACGGACATTCGCAGTGATAAGGAGATTCCGCCGTTTGATTGTGTAAATTATTCTAAAATATTCTAAGGTTCTAGTTTTCTTACGTATTAGGGATGTAAGCGGTTTGCCTGTTTGGTTAAGTCACACGCAAGATACTCGCATGCGCTCCGCGACCAAACGAACGCGACACGCCCGTACACGCATTCAGTACCCGTCGCTGGCTGCCACATTCGCCTTTTCTTCGTCATTGATCGAGAAACAGGAGTTCGCTACTTGGTGGACACTGGTGCCGAAGTTAGCGTCCTTCCTCGCGATAAGAAAGACCCACAGGAGAAGGCAATTAGTTCAATGAGCGCGGTCAACGGAACGACCATTCTCGTGTACGGTCAACACACGCGCACGCTTAAGTTAAACCTATGAGGTTCTCTTAAATGAATCTTTCTTGTCGTAATGTTCAGACACCAATTCTTGTCCTTAAGTTTCCGCGGCACTTTGATTTGCTTGTTGACGCGAAGCAACGCCGTCTGATTGATCGTTACACGAAAGTGGTAGTTATAGGGACTTTGACCGACATTTAGTCAGTCAGTCCTGTATACACCAGCCAATCGAGCTCAGATATAGGTCGGTCGCAGCGGATGTCAACGGTGCTGTTGCGCGTAACACTTGCGGGAATTTGCTCAGAATATTTTAGAATAATTTACACAATCAAACGGCGGAATCTCCTTTTCACTGCGAATGTCCGTTTCCATTTCCCTCCATGTTGCAAGTAACCTTAGTCGTTTTGCTTGCATCAAAAAATACAATCATATGCATCTTAATCACTTGGCTTGCTATCTCGTCAGTTATGAGTGTTATCTTCTTATATGTTCGATTTTCGGGAAAACCGTATGCATTGGCTTCAGTTTAACTTTGTCTTGTCTCCTGTCCTCGTCACAAAAGACAGCCATTTATCTGCGCTTATGTGACCTTAATCCCCATTCATTACCTAGTTTGCGTTCGTCTCTTGCCGTCCACGGACTCGATTTTCTATCCCATTTTCGACGTTCTGCGCAACTAATGTTTCTCGATCCATGATTCGCAGTGAGACTCAAATCACTTGTGGTAGTGTACTACAGCTACTCCAATAGAAAAAACTGCCGATGCCCACAAAACACAGTTTCATGCTAGGCCAACCTGCTTGGGTCGAGGCATGAATGGTTGAAGCCACTAAGCAAAGGGAAGTCTGTCGACGTGACTCTAGTAAAGCGTCCAGTAAAGTGAACCATGAGATCTTTCTACACAAACAAAGCGTGTGCGGTGTTAGGGTATCACTACGAAATTGGTTACAGGTCAACGGCCATTCAACCATTTGGTATCACTGTACCAGTAACATAACCCAGAGCACGATTCTGGGGCCTACTCTGTTCCCAATCCACATCAACGATTTGCTTCAGCTTTTCCGGTCACCTTGTTTGCGGACATCTTGGAGATTCGGAGAGTAATTGATGCCCCCACATGACTGCGGCATACTTAAGCGAGGCCTTAAGCGCCTCTCCACTTGGTCCATAGGATTCCTCTTCCCCGTCATCCCAGTCAAGTCGGTATTTATGAGTCTGGGAAAGGGTGGTTTCGGTCCAATTTACATCGACAGCCAACCGCTGTATCCCACACCTTCCGTGAAAGTTCTATGTGAATTTCGTGAACTACACGAAGAGCTTATATCATAACGGACCGCGCATGCCTTGGCCGTTAAAACGCAGTTTCTGTACTTGGTCTGAAAACATCGCCACTGACGCCTTCTCTTCCGTTATAAGGCATGCTTGCGTGCTATCTGATCACCAGAGGAGAAGCATAGAAGATCGAACGGGTCCAACACATCGATGCCAGGCCAAGCCCAAGTTTATGGGGATTGACATACGAAGACAGTTGCGAAACTCTAAGACTCTACACTTTGTCTTATCATCCGGTGGGAGTCGGTTCGACTTCATCATGAAATACCGCATGTTAAATCTCGGTCTCCCATATGTGTAGGCCACTACTCCACTTGCGAATGGTCTGCAGACGCCAGTCAACTGATAAACTCAAATTGTTGAAATCCAACGACATTCGCGAAAGCAGACCAGGACCCAGAATAATAGGCAAGTTGCGGTGTGAGCATTCCTAGTTTCTTTTAGCTCACATTGAAAATGATTCGCAAGCAAATACAATAGAACGTCCGGTCAGGGGTCACCTGCAGCGAAACAAGCCTGTATGAACGTTAGGCGTGAGACATGTACATAGCGATTAAAGTTCACTATCTTCAAGACAACCGATGTCCAGCTATGGGTGTAGTTAATCGTTTCACTACGGGTAATACCTAGAATGGCAGTGAAATTGGAACCGAAAAAACCGATGCCGAACACCCACCAGATACTAATGAAAGGCACGAACCGTGCAGGTGAACTTACATTTGATCCTGACGCAGATAATCGTGATTCTGACGCACAAAGTGTGCGCTAAAGAACGTGTCTGGATACACTTTGTGGATCAATTTTGCATTCCCCAGAGGGTATGAAACAAGTGAGAAATGTGAAAGCAGATGCGTAACTATGGACAGGCGAGATAAACCTTGCATAACTAACTTTGTTTGTTTCGAGTCCGTGTCGCAACAAATGAGTCAGTTTCGTCGATATCCGAATCATCTGCCTTGATTCCCATCAGCCGAGCGTCCATAGACGTGATTGCATACAGGAGCATACTGGATAACGCCAGTGTGCTGTGGAACAAATAAAACAGGTATTGATTTTGGGCGATAAAGGCGCCAGTAGAGCCCGGGAAAAGAACACAGAAAGAAAAAACCTACAAATAGCGCGAAGTTCGTAAATTTTTTTATCCATCACGAGTAGCAAACTCATCCGTAGTGGGAAGGTAATGTAGTATAAGGGAGATGCTTGATAAGATAACGTAATCGGTTCTTCAGGCTGTACAGTTCCGGATCGCCAATGATCCAACACGGAAAGAATCGAACTGCCGGTGTCACACCACAACTGATTCCCAATAGGGGCCTAGACTCATCATCTTTCAGGAGGAACGCAGCGAATATACCTTTAAGTAAACCGAAGTGAGGGGCATAATTATTCGATTGATGGAGTAGGTGTGTTTGACGATGCAAGCAATACTTCTAAATGTCTTGCCACTCCTACTACTGAGTTGAGGAAACAATTCAGTGCTTACTGCAAGTCTTTATCGAGTGGTGGAGACACTTATCGTCAACTGAGATTATAGTCATGAAAAGGCACCAGAAGGCTTGGGGGAAAAAAGAAAAAAAACTAGCGAGGCAATATTCGCCGTTTACGCCATACAAAGGGCAAACATCAGTGAGTGCTATGGGTCGACATGGAGATTAAAGTACGTCGACTCCGAAGGTAACAGTGATTGCTAATGTGCCCCACTGCCGACTGACTGATTCGGTAAAGTGAAAAAGCAATCCACATGAGATAAACAAAAGTCTTGAGACTTTCAGTGAAAAGTAAATGGGCCGCAATAGCTCCAGAGTGAAGCAGAAATGCGACCAGCAGAACGAACCCAACAGACTCAAAAAACAGAAGCCACCGAGAAGCAAGTCACATACAGCAGGTAAGGGCCACAGTGGATTCGGTGATCCAGCGTCGAGTTCGCAAAATCATCAGTAGAGAGCTGGTACGCAGTGCCGACGCTTCCCTGCCATGCAATCACCACCAATGGAACGTGGGCTAAGGATACTGTGAGGGTCCCCAGGTCAACTACGCAATCTCGAACCCGTGCCCTCGGATTACAATACAGGCTTGTGATGCTTAAGACTATGGATTAAGCACAGAAATTGGACTACCGAATCCAATGTGTTGCAGTACGCAAAGGAGATGCATAGTAATGTGATAAACTCTAAGCGGACGCAAAAGTTTAACCGTGCCAGAACTGAAAAATGACATGCGTTTTGTGGATGACAAGATCGCAGAGAAGAAGGACGGGCATGTGACGCATACCTCTTCACCGGATGGATGTGGTGATCCAAACGCCAACTGTCATGTAAGGCTACATTAAAAGATAGTTAGCGAATGTCAGCGGGAAATATTCCTCGGGCACCGAGGAGAGAGCGTGAGAGTATGCATGCACTTCATAATGAGGTGAAACGTACTGTATATTGCCATGTATAAGCCGATTCGTCCTCCAACGGATCGGTTGGAGCCGCTGAGGACGCTAATCGATGGTAGTTCGGGCGCTACCTGCACACAGATTGCAGATCTGGCGGAAACACTATGACTGTCTCTTGAACGAGCGTTCAGAGATTGACTGGCCTACTTTGAACGACCTGAAGCAGTACGACGTGAAGGCGAGTCTGGCAGACACGCCGACACTGGATAAGACGCAGAGAGTAATAGCTAAGTTGCGAAATGGCAAGTGTGTACTTGCCGACAGGATCCCACGTTGGTGCCTGCGCTGCACCACTTGGTGCAACGCGTGTGGACTGAGAAGGAGGTGCCTACTGAGCTGAAGGATGCCCTTGTGCTACCACTGTACAAGGGCAAAGGAAGCAAGCAATCTGCCACGAAGTATCGTGGTACCAACATGCTGGGTTGTGTGGGCAAGGTGAGTTCTCGAATCCTACACAACCGCCTCGTCAGTCATGTTGTCGAACCGAACGTGGCGAAAGAGAAATGTGGATACCGTTCAAGTCGCAGCACCATCGATATGATGTTTGCGGCTCGTCAGTTGCAGGAGAAATGTAGATGACACCAGCCATTGTACTCGCTGTTTATTGATTTCACCAAAGTAATTGATACGGTGAACCGCGAAGCACTGTGGTTGGTGTTGGGTAAGTTTGTAAGTTTAATTGAATGTCTGCACAGTGGTATCCGAGCGAGGGTGCAGCTGAGTGGAGAGACCTCGGATGACTTTGCAGTTGTCGCTGGTGTGAAGCAAGGCCGTGTTTAGCTCCTACCCTGTATAAGGCATGTCTTCAGGCCATGATGTCGTGTGCTTTTGAGTCGGCTTGTGCTTACGGTGTTCGTGTGGAGCACCACATTGTTGGTGGATTTCTAAACATCCGTCGTTTCGATGCAAGAACCTTAGTCTGTTAGACAACTACCCACATATTTTTGTCTGCTGACGACTGTTCGCTGTTTGCACACAGCGTGTATGAGTTGCAGCACATGACTAGTGCTCTGACTTCGACAGCGGCCGAATTCGGGAACACCATCAACACAAGTAAAATTGGTTGTTTCTTTCAAACGTCAGCGGAAGTGCAATCTGCAAAGTTGCCGGAAATTAGCACTGGTGATGAAGTATTGGACACCACCTCCCGATTAAGCAACCATGGGAGTGTGATGTTGACTAACCAACAGCTACACAGTGAGCTTCGCGTCCGCGTATCGAATGAAGCGGCAGCATTCGGGAAGCTTGAGTACCGAGTGTGGAACAACCATCAGCTTACCATTAGCACGAAGCTGATGGTCCACAAATTCATGGTACTGTGTTCTTCTAAACAGCAGCGAAACGTGAACGATGTACCGGCGGGATGTGCGATATCTCGAGCGGTTCCACCAACAGTGCTTGCGCATCGGTTGGTGCAACTGAGTTGCAGACACGGATGTAGTGTGCCGAAGTGGAATGCATGCAGTGGACTGCATACTTTTGCTGAGACACCTGAGGTGGCTCGGTTATGTGTGGCCTATGGATTCGACGCGGATACCAAAGCAGCTATTACCTGGTTAGCTGAGTGCCGGGAAGCGGCATGTGGGGAAACCGAAGCTTCGTTACCAGGACATGATCAAAGTGAGCCTATGACGTTGTAAACTTGATTACAGGTCATGGGAATCGAAGGCGGGTGATCAGCGTGAATGGCGCGATCTGACCATGAAAACAGTTGCCGAGGTGCAGGGAAAAACCATCATGCATGCAGAGATGAAGCGGCAGTTGTGGAAGCGCCAGGCGCCGATGAGTTGTACTCCAGCACATCGAGCGCATGGTGCAGTAGCACATGCGGTCGCGACTGCCTGAGTCAGATAAGCCTAGTGAGCCATCAGTGACGCCACTCGGGGCCACACAGAAACGACGACTCAAAACAATGCAGATGCCAGCTTGACTAGCATTCGAAAGTGCATCATCGCCAGACAAGCGCAATGAGAATGTGCCACCAGTGTCGCATGTGGTGGATCGCAGAGTAAGCAAGGAGCTCGAATCTTGCACGCGGGTTTCTGATAAACAGCAAATATCGATCGATAGGGGCTCTAGTGTGCGGGCAAGTGCTGCCTGCTGGCCAACCAGTAACAAAGTGCGCACGTTAAAGCATGCCAGTCATAGCGGGACGCAAGGACTCCAAAGGGAAACAGATGAACTGACGTTGTCCGCTAAGTTGAACACGGACTTGTCGGCTGGATTGGAGCGACGACCTGCGACTGTGTGTGAGTTGAAACATGCGACTATTGAAGCAAGGTGGGGCAGGGCCAACAATCGGGGGGTTGAAAACCGGGGGATAAAAGTAAAGTTGCAGCAGGACGATAAGAATGAAAAAGCTTAAGAGGGGGAATAAGAAGACGGAAGGACCTGAGCAGTAGCATCCAAACCCCTATCCACCGTGATTGATGCAGCAGATAGGGCGCCGTTGATTATCCTCTGCGACGGCCAGAGCATCACCAAATCGTTAGAATAATGGTTCATTGTACTGCGTTGGTAGAATACTGTCAGGTTGCCTAGGTCTAGACAGGAGAATGATTAGGATTCTCAACCAAAGCCTTTGGTACAAAAACATTACAGCAAGGCAGCGGGGTTTTGGCACTGAACTACAGAGAGCCCGTTTTATGGAGTAAGGAGCAACCCTCACTCCAGCCCCCAAGCTGGAGGGCCAGGAGACAGGTAATCTGGAATTTAAGCATTGACCAATCTGGTATGAGTGACTCTGAAGGTGCAAAAAAACATAACTCAATGGATCACTGAGGCACACAAACCATCGCACTACGTTAACGTCCAGTCTCGTCGCGATGGTTAACCGTCAGTGACTTCAATTCAAGCTGCCAAGTAAACTATTTTCCACCTCAAACCTTGCGCCACTCTAAATCTGACAGACAAAAGAAGACACTCCTGGGTAAGCCGTGACCAGGCATACATAGTGCGTGCCTAAGCCAACCTAACTCATTCAGTACTATCTGCTGTTCCAAGGAACTAGCCGAAGTATCACAGAGTAGTACACACCTACGCATATCATCGTCGTGGACACTGTGGTGCGACCCGGCACAAACAGTGCTCCGCAGACCGATGATCAAAGACTTGTAGACGTTTCAGATCTTTAGAGAAAGAGGCGAAATCTCACATTAATAGAGGGTTAAGCGGAGCCAATGTCCAGATACGAGGTCGCGCACAGGCGTACCGAGGAGCACGTGAGCTGCCTGCTGCATGCAAACGTCACCAGCACGAGCGTAGAACGACCTTCGGCTGTTTTGTCAAATTTGGGAATCGGGCGCAAACTGATTGGCCAGCAACTACAAGCCCGAGTCAACGGAGGCGACCCATTCTGCCAAATATAGAAAATCCGTGGGACGGAATTGACTCACACTGGCTGAGAGCCAAACGCCTCCAAAATTAATATGTTTCGTTCACCAATACATAGAACTGACCTATCGTGTAGAATAGACTCCCTGTTTACCGAGCCTTGGCCTTCTGTATCCCGTCGGTTGGTTGGACGCGCGACTGAGCAATCCAGCGGTCGTAGTCTTGCAGTCGCAGAATAGTAGCAGTGCAGCAGTACGAAGGCAGCTTTACAATAGATTTCCATATAGGAAGGCTCTCATTGTGGCCTTGTAAACACGGCCTTTATGACCGAGGCAAACTCCTTTCTTTCGCCAAAGATGTCGCAGACTCAGGGAGGCAGTTCTAGCTTTTGCAGTACGTGAACTGACTTCAGTTGTTATGCGCCTATCGTTGCTGATGCAGTTGCCAAGGAAAATGAATTGATTAACTACTTCGAGTTCCTCGACATTAAGGGTCAAGGAGTCATGATCGTAATATAAATAATTAAAAACTATTTTTGAGCAAGAGTTTATTAAATCAAGTGATGACGTAAGTTAATGGGACGATTGAGATTATTTAGTTGCAACAATTTATGGGATATTTGGTGCGGTGTCCACTAGTACACATCTTAAGTCGTGCTCCAAGTTAATTCGGTTCCTTGCTTTGGTGTGTGATCCCTGATCAAACATGAACAGATGTCAGTGGCTACTCAGTTGTTTTAAATATCTCCTCCAAGTCCATCCTGGATGACAGAATCCCACCAGCACTTGGTATCGATACATTTTGAACACCAATAGCCTGTCTTGTCCCTTCAACCTTGTAAACATTCGGTAGCTCATTTACCTGGGCGAGTGACCTTAGTGTTTAGTCCACTCTTCAATTCGATCCGGCGAACAACTACCTGACCCGTAAAAACAACGGTCCAGGAGCGAGCCGATATAGGCACCATCTAGCTGCGCTGTTTTGCAGACTTGTATTCGTATTTTAGATGATAAAATTTATTACCGAAAATTCAATGACCACTCCCTTTTGATTAGTCACTGCTCGTTATTCAACAGTCATTAGGTAGTTAGACTGTTGTTGTGATATAGATTTCGTCATTAATTTTGTTCGGCGACAGACTGATGACCAAATCTTCGTATTTACCCCCGGTAAAAGTCAATTTTCCCTACTTGGGGGTAATTACCCGCATGTTGAGGACCAATGCGGTATACTTTCGGATTTCATGCTTTTACCGATGATGTAAAGAAATAGCGAACAATTAGTTATCAGGACGATCAGGATGTACTCCACAGTGAGCTAGACCGTATTTGTGAACAGCGGAGGAGAAAACTTCTCGATGTAAGTCAGGAGTGTCCAAAGTCAAGCCCGCAACCTCATTATGAAATAATAAATTTAAGCTTAGATTTTTCCTTACGAACGACAGTACATAGATTGTAAAAAGTTGTGTGCGCTGTGTGTACAAAATGTAGTGGCGTCAGATGCTGACAAAAATCACTGATTTAGTATTGTTTATTTTTAACCAACTAGGGAAAGTCAATATAGTTTTTTTTACTGAAGAGGGTCTTAAATGGGTTCGTTTACCACATATATGGATTGGTGGCATCCGTATCCGGAGTTGCCTGTCACTGTGGCCTCCATGAGGACAGCGACAGGAAGCCTGCGCCCACAAAGGGACCATGGGTGGCGTGCGCTGCACTACACACAGTATCAAAAACCACACACCCAATACCCGGGGTAAACCCAAAGGAATAAGACCGCGAGGCATGTGGATGAGAGCCAGGTTTCATCAACGGAACTGACCCACACTCCTTCAACAAGCAGAACAGAAGCATTCCGGTCTAATTGGGAAAGCATGCACACCAGACGTACACAAGGCCGTGGTTGGCGCGTAGCCCGTTCCACATAGGTTGTATGGAACCACTCTTTGAGCCTAGCACCGTCAAGAGGACGGTGCACTCCGTCCCCTCCAGCGACGACCAACTGTCTCCTGGAGCCAGCAATCAGATGGAGGGTATTAGACAGGTAGGTAGTTTGTCAACATTCACATCAGGCGCAGCCACACCGGGGATGTCAAACAACAGCCAATCACTTGAAATAACAGTAGCAAATAGAATATATCTGTTAAAGAATACGGCTATGCAGACATAACTCTTCCGTAAATTAGCATATGAAGTAGGTTGGTTAGCAACGAATCCGCGATAAGTAAGAAATGTCCACAAGTTACTAAAAATGCTACAAGCGCAATAAACTTAACGAAAATGAGCACAGATACCGTAAGCAACGTGGAAATTTAATAGAAGATTATTCCGGTAGGCAAAACAAATCAAGTGGTGGAATGAAATTTATCCAGCTTAAAAAGATACCTAGTTTAAGTGTAAGTGGGTTTAGCCCAACTACGGTGAAGAAGCCTCATTCGGGAAGCTTGAGTACCGAGTGTGGAACAACCATCAGCTTACCATTGACACGAAGCTGATGGTGTACAAATCCATGGTGCTGTCCGTTCTTCTATACGGCAGTGAAACGTGGACGATGTACCGACGGGATGTGCGAAATCTCGAGCGGTTCCATCAGCAGTGCTTGCTACGGATTTTGCGCATCAGTTGGGGCGACAGAGTTGCGGACGCAGAAGTGTTGCGACAAAGTGGGATGTATGCAGTGGACTGCATGCTTTTACTGAGACACCTGAGGTGGCTCGGTCATGTGTGCCGTATGGATTCGACGCGGATACCGAAGCAGCTATTATATGGTCAGCTGAGTGCCGGGAAGCGGCGCGTGGGGAAACCAAACTTACGATGTGACGAATTTCTACCTGTACCATTCAACTCCCCCTACTACTCTTCTGTAATCAGTACGAAGACCAAACTGCTTATAATGCCATAAGTTATTTGGCGGCTTAAGTTTGGTAAGCTCGTCGCTTGGTGAGGGGGCTACCCTGTCCTCTGCATGGCAGTAACGTGTAAGTCAGTGGATTGTGAGCGGCGCTATATCACATCTAGTAACTTATTCACGATGGTCGTTGCCGTCCCCCGCAGCTCAGTGGTCTCAACCACGGACTGGCAACAGTCGAGTTGCGGGTTCGAGCCCTACCAAGGGTCCGATGGAATGCGCACTGCTGATGATTCCCGAAAGGATGAAACGCGCGTACAGTGCTTTTCCGGGCGTGTGGCGGCTGTCTGAGTGAGTCTAGATGTGACGAATTTCTACCTATACCATTCAACTCCCCCTACTACTCTTCTGTAAATAAATAAATGTTTTATTCCCGGTAGAACGAGACACACCTAACGCCTACGTCTAACTACACGTACAATAACCCATCCAGACGCGCCAGCCTTAGAATAAGCATGATATCGCAGTGCTCGAGACTCCACAGCACAATCTAAGACAGTCGATTGATTACCTCTTACGCCTGACCCATCAACTACGATCAAAGTCCCTCGATGTGCACAGTGGAAGGCATCGTTGCCTAGCGATGGTGCTACCGTACAAGAAATCGAAGACGTGTCTGGTTCGGTTCCTAGGTGGAGATGAATTCTAAACAAAGAGCAAGCCGTTAATGGTACAGAGCAAGAGCGAAGTGCCACTACTTCTATTCCAATGTCAATGATCGGAATGATAGAGATTAACATTAAATTGCGTGTTGCAATTCAAACACAAAGCAGCTCGACCAAATCCCGAGTAAGATAAAGAATAAAGCAAACTCAAAGAGAGTAAACAATAAACAACAATAAACAAAGTGTATTATTGACCATACGAGGCACGCCCTTGGGGCATGATCATAGAGGTGCAGCAATGAATCATAGGCTGATCAGAAAAATGCAACTGACAGTCAGTTATTGCCAAATCGATAAAAGGATTGGGGGTTCTTAGCTGACGGAGTATTCTAGGTAAAGGGATCCGTCTCACGACATATTTCAACATTTAATGAAAATTTATGAGGATCATAAGGACAAAGCAAGTGAAGGACAAAATATTCGCTAAAATGACGCCCACTAAGGGAGGTTAACAGACAATCTGTGTGTGCGCCTTATTGGTTGCCGGTCTCACCTGATCAAGATTTCATGAGAAGCAAAGTAAAATGGGTGGCAGGCACACCAAAGACGCATCACTTTTGCCAGGACAGGTTGTCCATTCAGGTCGGGAACACGAGAGAGGAAATTGACGGCCGCTTCGGGTTGCAAACGACATAGCACGATGAAAACGAACAGCAAACTTTGACGAGCCCCAGCAACACTACCAGATTCCAAATCAAAAGAGGTGAAGTCACCATCGTCCAGAGAATACAGAGTCCGTCCCGAGTCTGCAATGCGTACATCAGGCAGTAAGATGCGGTTGGGCAAAAATGGCAAGTTGTGAGCTGTGTTTGCATAGTGTCCTGCGCCAAGCAATGTAAGTACGGACAACGGATTGATGATAAGTTCACTAACCAGACGTATGTGGATAGATGTGGATATAGAGACATCCGGAAGCAGCAAACATGGTCATCGCTAGACAGTGTCCGCACTTGCTTGTTCTCGAACGGGTTTAACCTAGGTCAGTTCATGTTGGTGGGTGACGTGAGTCCAGGTAATTGAGCTCTTCGAATATACATCGAACTGATCGAGAAGTCATGGTTTCAGTAAGATTTGTGGACAATCTGTTGGTTTATTTAATTGACAAAGTTTCGCCTTTGACACGAAAGCTTCGTCAGACTAAGTGAGTTGTTAGGCAGTTGGTGTAGGACTTTACACTGAGTGAGGAAGAAATCGTGACAAAAGACATAAGTTAAGTGACTCTAGCAGACACAGGTGGAAATGTCATCACAATTGGTCAGTCAGAGTAAGGCTATCGCAGGGGTTTCACTGTCCGTTTTGTTATCAATTAACACCTTGGTGAAGATGATGATGTCCGTCTTTGCTGTCCAATCTGACCCGTGTACCGACGCTGGCCAGACTACCTGGGGTTAAGACTAATCTCCACACAGTCGAGAGTTCGACCCCCTGCTTTCCATTCATATAGCCATAAAATGCCACAATATGTACTAATTCAGTTGGCCTGACGAAGTATTTGTGTCAGGAGCTTAATGTTGCCAACTAAATAAACCAACCGAGTGTCCAGACAGTTTAGGATGTGAGCGTGATCAGAGCATTCCATCAAAAGGGAATTCGGTATCTCTCGAGGAATCGTGCTGTCCTGAGATAAGTTAATATGAGAAAGTAATCAATTTGTTACCGAACTGGCGATGACTACGGATGAACATCACTTAGAATACCGACAAAGAAGACCTGAATTGCAATAAGGGAGCTTGAGTTTATGAATAAATATTTAGCACCCTAGCTGCTTAAAGATTAAAAATAAGCGCAAAGAATGCATTGGCACGCGACTGTTTGAGATGAAGTGGAATATGTTATGAATCAGACCATATCTGAGGGTGAGAATAATTGTACCGACGCAGGTAACCTCACCTCTTCAAATAAATAGAATAAATAAGATCGCGTTTTAGTATTTGGAGACGAGATTTACCGCCTATGACGAATAAACCACCGATCATCCGGTTCTGTTCTACCGACAAAGCTAGTTTGGACATTTGGAATCAATGATGGAAAACCTTTTGACTACCTGTAGCTGCTTCCAATCTTGGACGCGGCAGTATCTCTTATCGAGATAAAGAAAGTGAAACAACTGTGACAGTTAGACGATGGTTAAAGATATTTCGACGCCCTTTATATTACTGACATCTATCCTACCATAGCCAGAGCATCGGACATATCCAGCGCTCATTGAAGTATTTGGCAAAATGTATTTACGGCTAGACATTTCTTCTCAGAACTCTCGAAAAGTGTGAACGAATTCATTGCTAGTGCACTTCAGGAGACAACTGACTGTAGCCACAACGAAATCGAGCCAGTGAAGTTCGAAGAAAGTATGTTTCTCCAATGCGTGATAGTTGGGATCTCAGACCAGAACACTCGTGAAAAGCCCCTATCAAAAAACGATTTCGGCTGATTTGGAAGATGGCCTAGGCGGTTCCCAGGAACCCTACCCAACAATTTGCAACATTTACGTTAAAAGGCACAGCAGAAGAGTTACCATTGGTGAATAGTAGACAAAACAAACAATAAACAAGGTTTATCAAGGACAAAAAGCTGATGCATGGCAGATCTCGCAGATGGTTGAGGTAAAAACTACGAATTAAAGGTATGAAAATCATCAGATAAAGCAACTACCGATTTAAATGCGTTACTACATGGTGATAGTGTGAAACTGGAGTTGATATAAACAAACAGAGTAGATGGAGTGATTGTCGAGTGTGTGACAGAGTATCTTAACCAGACCAGTTTGAGGAGCGTCGGCGGACGGATCGGGGGCAAAGCGGAAACATCAAACCGTTCCTAGCTGGTAGAAACTTACGTGTGATGACCTCATATAATGAGCCACATGAGATCGTACCATTGCTAATGCACCATTTTAAATGACATGGTCGCCTGCAACCTGATTGCCACCCTATTTGCATCTCGGTCGCCACGATAATTGTCCCATTTTGCCATAAAAGCCGCACCAGTCTCCCACTGGTTCACCTGGCCTGATGAAATGTTCGTATCGAAAGCAAAACTTTGCCCTCCAACTATACCAAGCGTTGTTTTCAAACCCTTCTGCTGCATTTTTTGCAGCGCAATACCGGCTGGTAGCGCTACGGAACGATGACCTAACCGTCACTGATGACTCAACTGGCGTGCCTTAGTTGCAAGTTCTTTTTCTTCTTCTCTTATATATTGCGGTACAATAGCTGAGGTGTTTTCCATCTCTAACTAAAGTGTAGATTGATGATCGGTTCCAAGAATATTTCAAGATATTGAATATGGGGAGCAGTTATAGTTGTATTTTGTGAAGAAAAATAAGAATTAAAATGGCTCACTCATTTACACTTGTTCTGTCCATGTGAAACAAAAAGGTATTGGATGAGGACCCTAATTGTCTTTCTGTCTAGGTCTGGGTGCCCTGGCAGTATCCCAGCCCACATACAACCATGACATTTTCTTCAAACATAAACTTCATCCTGCATTGGTCGTCGCGCAGATTATCAAGGGTCGCCATATGTGCTGCATACAGCAGGGCACATAAGCGAAAACATGCTACCGCTAGCGCCTCCCTGCTTTTTTGTACACCTGTTTCTCTTACTCCCATCCAGACCCCCATTACTAACCTTCCTTCTATAATTCCCAGCTTAACTGACAGCAATTGAAGTGAGTAGAACCATCTGCAGCTACAATCCTACAGCGCCTATTGGCAAAAGTCCGTTATAAGGCAACGCTATGACGTTTCCATGGCAACATTCAACGTTCGCACTCTAAGACAAGTAGGTCAACATCTTGGACACACACTGTGTAGTAACGCGTGTTGGCTGTCCGAAACCAGAAGCAATGACCTTCACGGGTTGTTGAATCAATTGCGCCATGCTAATGCTCTCGCTATTGATTACACGCATCCGGAGACACTGATGCGGCAGCCTCTGGTCAAGCTGCAGTAGACATCGGACTCAGCTCAGAGGCTGAGTCGTTGGTTGATTGGATTCCGGTGAACAGCCGTTTGGGTGCAGCCCGTATGACTACATCAACTACGGCAGATACACGAAGCAGTAAAAGACGCTGTTTGTTTGTGCGGTTCCCGCTTACACTCCCCATAGATTGCACTTCTGACGCTGCCAAGGACACATTTTGCCACGAAATGAACACGCTACTACGCAGTGTTGTCAATTCAGATAGCAGAGTACTTGCAGGCGATATGAATGCGCAAGTAGGTCGTCTGAGCTCTTCAGAGGGTCAACAAGGTGGCAAGTTTGGACTTAACTAAGACCGTATGGACAATGGCGGGCGTCTTTGCAACTGTGTGTGGAACACCGGTTATTTGTTAGTAGCACTGCATTTAAGTTAGACGATGAACATGTTTGGCTGGATACACTTGTTGATATGGATAGGAGCCGACCTCAGTGGCGTTCGTGCTGTGAGTTTCTTTATCCCACCCCATTCCTCTTAGCATACCACTCCAACCACGATCCCTACATAACATTGCATAGTAATTTTTTTGATGCAGAGTAGTCGGGTGGTAGCTTACCGGAACGATGCCCATCCGTAACCGGTAGCTCAGCCAGCTTGCACCAGTTGCATTTTTTCTCTCCTTTTTTCTATGTATTGCGGCACAGTAGCTGAGGTCTTTCCCACCTCTAGCTAACGTGTATCATGATGATGATGACTGCATTTAGATACAGCGAATACCGAAGACCCAAATAGATGACATCGCCATAAATTATAGGTGGCATGGTTCCATTCTGGATTGTCGCACGTACTGGAGTACCTGCGTCGACTCTGATCATGCCTTGGTACGCTGTCGTTTCTCCATGAACTTTACCGGGAGGAGCACCAAGCGTCCCCTACGATTGGCAGCTGAGAAATTGTCCCAGTCCTCGGTCAGGCAAGCCTATCAAGAAGCACTGTATACCGGACTCTCGCTGTCTTGTCCTAATGACACTGAACTTCAGTAGAATAGCATCTCGGTAGCCATGTACGACGCAGGGGCATCTGAGTGTGGCACTATCAATCGTCACCGCACCAGTCACTGGATATCTGAGAGGTCGGTGAACCAGTTGGAATCCAGAAGAAAACTCCTGACTGGCTCTGAACACAATGTGATGTGAAGAACTATTAGACGTGGATTAAGCGAAGCCAGCGCGCAGGCAAGGAAGCCAGGTTGACCAGTAGGGATAAAGAGATAGAAAAGGTAGGAGCAGAAGACAATTAGATCAAGCTCACGCAGCTCATCGGCACCACCGGACCCAGGATACCCGGCGTCAGTGATACCATAAGAGACAGCGCGGGCGCCCTGATTCACAATAAGGAGCCCCATATGCTCGTTGAGTGGAACAAATTCAAGATCAGTTCAGCTGGCACCCTGCTTCCGAACCTCTTCCTATTCAGGTGATGTAAGATGAACCACGGACGGTTAGTTTAGAGCCCAAATCGGTGACCGAAATCTGAAATGCGATCACAGCCGACAATCATTCTCGAGCCGAAGACCCGGATTTCCTCCCACCTGTAAAGTTTGATGACTGAGGTGACGTCTTTTGCAAAACACTGGCCTTCCTATTTAAATATCTGGAAGGAAGAGACTGTCCCGAACAACTGGAGCTTATAGTGGCAATTTACAAGAAGGACAGTCGCACAGACTGTTCTAACGACAGGAGTATTAGTCTAACACCAGTTGTTGCAAAAGTATTGGCCTCGATTCTCGTTCGTCGCCTCACTGTGGAAGGAGAATCGCGGATTA